CAGTAATCTGCAGAATTCACATAACAGCTTTCTACATGTCACTGTTGGATTTGCTCCCCATATTTATTCACTGAGGTATCACAGCCGTTCTTGAGCACAGATCTGGTCATGACCTGAACTTTATAAAGGAAGAATCTAAGCAGCACAGAAGTTAAGGGGAAGCAGCAGGGTTGGGCCCAGGCTCCGTTTCTTAGCCACAACCTGGAGAGGCCCGTGCTCATCTCTTGTCCTTCAGATAGTGGCAGTGGGCACAGGTGCACAGTGAAAATGAAGAAGCAGCTGTTTTTCAGACTCTGGGACCGTCTCAGACGATTGTATGAAAGGTGCTAGCAACTCAGGTGGTCTACACCGCGTGTTTTTGGAGCCACAGCAAACACAGAGGCAGGTAATTAATTAAGTGGTAAGTGTCACGAAGACTAAATGAGGTAGAAAATCAGAGAGGAGAGGAACATTTCTGCTCATAGCGTATTGTGACTGGTGTCAGAGGAGCTGGCTTTGAGCCGGCCTTTTGGACAAAGGGAAACCAGGGGGTGTGAAGTCTGTAAATCTTTTTGTGGCTCACATTGTGGCACAGTCTGTTAAGCCCCCACCTGCAATGCTAGCATTCCATATGAGCACCATTTGGAGTCCTGGATGCTGTGTTTGCAATCCAGTGCCCTGCTAATGTGCCTGAGACAGCAGCAGAAAATGGCCCAAGTAATTGAGCCCCTGCTACCCACATGGGAGATCCTGATGGAGTTGTAGGCTCTTGGCTTCAGGCTGTTTTATATACATACATACATACATATATATATTTAAAAGATTTATTTATTGGGGCTGGTGCTGTGGCTCAGCAGGTTAACGCCCTGGCCTGAAGCGCCGGCATCCCATATGGGCACCTGTCCTAGTCCTGGCTGCTCCTCTTCTGATTCAGCTCTCTGCTATGGCCTGGGAAAGCAGTAGAGGACGGCCCAGAGTTACACAGAAAGAGGAGAGGCACGGAGGGGGGTGGCTTCCATCCACTGGTTCCCACCCCATTGCCCGCAATGGTCCGAGCTGCACTGATCAGAAGCCAGGAGCCAGGAGCTTCTTCCAGGTCTCCCACGTGGGTGCAGAGACCCAAGGACTTGGGCCATCTTCTACTGCATTCCTAGACCACAGCAGAGAGCTGGATTAGAAGAGGGGCAGCTGGGACTAGAACCAGTGCCCATATGGAAAGCTGGTGCTTCAGGCTAGGGTGTTAAGCTGCTGGCCATAGCGCTGGCCCCGTTCAGGCTGGTTTAGCTCTCGGCTTTGCAGCCATTCAGGGAGTAAACCAGCAGGTGGAAGATCTTTTCTCTCTGTATCTCTCCTTCTAACTTTGCATTTCAAATAAATAAATATATCTTTTAAATATAAAAATATTTTATATTTTATAATATATTTAAATAAATATGTACATTTTATATTTCTTATATAAAAATTTTATATAGATATTATATAAAATATTTATATGTAAATGTTATATATAAATAAATAGGTATTATATAAATTTTATATATATTTTATATATTTTATATTTTATAATATATTTAAATATATATTAAAATGTATTCTATAAATAAGGTATTTTATATATAAGTAAAATATATATAAAATATTTTATATATAAATATATATATATATTCTCCATCTTTTTTTTTTTATCTTTTATTTAATGAATATAAATTTCCAAAGTACGACTCATGGGTTACAATGGCTTCCCCCCCCATACCGTCCCTCCCACCCACAACCCTCCCCTTTCCCACTCCCTCTCCCCTTCCATTCACATCAAGATTCATTTTCGATTATCTTAATATACAGAAGATCAGCTTAGTATACCTTAAGTAAGGATTTCAACAGTTTGCTCCCACACAGAAACATAAAGTGAAATAATAGATGATTTTTTTTAAATGATGATGAAATCAGATCAGACCTATTGTCATGTTTAATCCCAGTGAGAGTCAAGTTGGGAATTGATAATTTCTTTTTCTTTTTTTTTTTTTTTACAGAAGATCAGTTTAGTGTACATTAAGTAAAGATTTCAATCGTTTGCACCCCCATAGAAACACAAAGTGAAATATACTGTTTGAGTACTCGTTATAGCATTAAGCCTCAGTGTACAGCACATTAAGGACAGAGATCCTACATGAGGAGTAAGTGCACAGTGACTCCTGTTGTTGACTTTACAAATTGACACTCCTGTTTATGGCATCAGTAATCTCCCTATGCACCAGTCATGAGTTTCCAAGGCTATGGAAGCCCCTTGAGTTCTCCGACTCTTATCTTGTTTAGACAAGGTCATAGTCAAAGTGGAGGTTCTCTCCTCCCTTCAGAGAAAGGCACCTCCCTCTTTGAAGACCTGTTCTTTCCACTGGGATCTCACTCACAGAGATCTTTTTGCCAGAGTGTCTTGGCTTTCCATGCCTGAAATACTCTCATGGGCTTTTCAGCCAGATCCGAGTGCCTTTAGGGCTGATTCTGAGGCCAGAGTGCTATTTAGGACATCCGCCATTCTATGAGTCTGCTGAGTATCTCACTTCCCATGTTGGATCACTCTCCCCTTTATTTATTCTATCGGTTAGTGTTAGCAGATACTAGACTTGTTTATGTGCTCCCTTTGACTCTTAGTCCTTTCATTATGATCAATTGTGAACTGAAATTGATCACTTGGAATAGTGAGATGGCATTGGCACATGCCACCTTGATGGGATTGAATTGGAATCCCCTGGTATGTTTCCAACTCTACCAATTGGGGCAAGTCAGCCCGAGCATGCCCCAAATTATACATCTCTTCCCTCTCTTATTCCCACTCTTATGTTTAACAGGGATCACATTTCAGTTAATTTTCAACACTTAAGAATAACTGTGTGATAATTACAGAATTAAACCAGTCATATTAAGTAGAACAGACAAAAAAAAAATACTATGAGGGATAATGTATTAAGTTGTCCATTAGCAGTCAGGGCTATGCTGATCAAGTCACCATTTCTCATAGTGTCCATTTCACTTCAGGAGGTTTCCTTTTTGGTGTTCAGTCAGTTGTCACCGATCAGGGAGAACATATGGTATTTGTCCCTTTGGGACTGGCTTACTTCACTCAGCATGATGTGTTCCAGATTCCTCCATTTTGTTGCAAATGACTGGATTTCGTTGTTTCTTACTGCGGTATAGTATTCTAAAGAATACATATCCCATAATTTCTTTATCCAGTCTACCATTGATGGGCATTTAGGTTGGTTCCAGGTCTTGGCTATTGTGAATTGTGCTGCAATAAACATTAGGGTGCAGACCGCTTTTTTCTTTATCAATTTAAACTCCTTTGGGTAAATTCCAAGGAGTGGGATGGCTGGGTCGAACGTTAGGGTTATATTCAGGTTTCTGAGGAATCTCCAGACTGATTTCCATAGTGGCTTGACCAGTTTGCATTCCCACCAACAGTGGGTTAGTGTCCCTTTTTCCCCACATCCTCGCCAGCATCTGTTGTTGGTAGATTTCTGTATGTGAGCCATTCTAACCGGGGTGAGGTGAAACCTCATTGTGCTTTTGATTTGCATTTCCCTGATTGCTAGTGACCTTGAACATTTTTTCTTGTGCCTGTTGGCCATTTGGATTTCCTCTTTTGAAAAATGTCTATTGAAGTCCTTGGCCCATCTCTTAAGTGGGTTGTTGGTTTTGTTTTTGTGGAGTTTCTTGATCTCTTTGTAGATTCTGGTTATTAACCCTTTATCTGTTGCATAGTTTGCAAATATTTTTTCCCATTCTGTCGGTTGTCTCTTCACTCTCCTGACTGTTTCTTTTGCAGTACAGAAACTTCTCAATTTGATGCAATCCCAATAGTTGATTTTGGCTTTGACTGTCTGTGCCTCCCGGGTCTTTTCCAGAAATTCTTTGCCTGTGCCAATATCTTGAAGGGTTTCTCCAATGTTCTCTAATAACTTTATGTCTGATCTGCTTCCCAGCTGTATCCCCAGCACCTAGACTTTTACAGAGCAGTGTTTTTTCTACTTACTACTTGTTGAATTCTTTATTTAGTGGAGGGTTAAGCTGTGATTATAAAGTAAATTGAAAGTATGTAATTGTAAAAAAATAATAAAAAAAAGGAAGGAGACAGAAGGGTCACACCTATGGAGTTACACCTATGGGGTTCATTAATATTTGTTAAATTACAGTGGATTATACATATATATTATAAATACACACACACACACACGAGATGTTCCTAAAGTTCAAAAGTTAGAAGATTCAAAAAGCTGGAGTGAAGGTCCTTTCACAGTGCCCCCAGTCACCTGGTTCCCCTCCACAGAGGCAAGAAGGTTTTGGAGGGCTGGCACTTTTGGTGTAGTGGGTTAAGTCTCCACTTGCAGTGCTGGCATCCCATATAGGTGCTGGTTCAAGCCCTTTCTGCTCCACTTCCAATCCAGCTCCCTGCTGGTGGCCTGGGAAAGCAGCAGAGGATGGCCCAAGTCCTTGAGCTGCTGAACCCATGTGGGATACCTGGAAGAAGCTCCTGGCTCTTGGCTTCAGCTTGGCTCAGCCCCAGCAGTTTCAGCCATTTGGGGTATGAACCAGCGAATGGAAGATTCGTATTCTCTCTCTCTCTCTCTCTCTCTCTCTCTCTCTTTCTCTTTCTCTTTCTCTTTCCTTCCCTCTCTGTATCTCTGATTTTCAAGTAAATGAATCTTTAAAAAAAGAAGAGAGAAGGTTTTGGATTTTTCTGAGATTTCTTACAGAGTTATTGTATGCATATCCAAGCAAATACATATGTGCATGTTATGTGTTTAGTCTCCGCTGTCCTTCCACACAATTTTTATTACAAATGGCAGCATCGTGTCTGTGTTACTCTATACATGGCTTGTGTTAGCATATATCTATCTATATATTATAGCATATATATATTATAGCATATATATTTATATATATATATATATATATATTCTGTGTTCGTATATACTGAGATCGTTCCCTATCGGCCCATACCTTTTCCTCTATATCTTTTACAGCTGCACCCGTTGCCTGGATGTGCCACACTGTACCTAGACCCCTATGTGACTAGGTAGGTTTTGCTCTTCTTCCTTTGCTCTTCGAAGTAGTATCACAATGAAGGTGCATGGATGTTGAATGAAGATCCTGTGAGAGAGCTAAGACACCTTAAAGACACAGTAATCAACCATACTTTCAGATTAGCCAGGAATTCCCACCTCTGTGGATGAGAGACATGCGCGGGAGAATCTGACAGGAGCAGAAGTGGCCCAATCAAGGAGACACAGGGCTTGGGAACCAGGCACACTTGAGTCCTGCCCTTGTTCTGCTCTTTGTGACCTGTATTTCCTGGGTTTTCACATCCGAATTGCGGAAGGTGATGTTCTTAGACCAGGAAGATGAAATTAAAAATTTGAGATTTTATTATTGTTTGTAGCCCTTGTCTGTACTTTTACAGAGCAGTGTTTTTTCTACATACTACTTGTTGAATTCTTTATTTAGTGGAGGGTTAAGCTGTGATTATAAAGTAAATTGAAAGTATGTAATTGTAAAAAAAATAATAAAAAAAGGAAGGAGACAGAAGGGTCAGAGGAAGGGAGGACAGAGTGTGAAGCATTATTATGCTCTTTTGTTTTTTAAAGACTTATTTATTTATTTGAAAGTCAGAGTTACACAGAGAGAGGAAAGGCAGAGAGAGAGAGGTCTTAACCATCCGATGGTTCACTCCCCAATTGATTGCAATGGCTGGAGCTGTGACAATCCAAAGCCAGGGGCCAGGAGCCTCCTCCAGGTCTCCCACATGGGTGCAGGGGCCCAAGGACCTGGGCCATCTTCCCACTGCCTTCCCAAGACACAGCAGAGAGCTGGATCGGAAGCGGAGCAGCCAGGCCTCGAACTGGCGCCCATATGGGATACCAGCACTGCAGGCCAGGGCCTTAACCTGTTGCACCACAGCGCCAGCCCCTATTATGCTCTTGAACTGTATATGTGAAATACATGAAATGTGTTCCCTTTATATAAATATAAAAATTTTAATGAGAGAAAATAAATAGATGACTTAGGTACACTGTCCATAGGAAGGAATTAATTCTTGCTTTCATCTCCGTGTGCTGTCAGGTTGTAACCCTCAGAATTCTCTTTTTGCTCTTTTATTCCACTTACCTTAACAAAACAACTTAATGATCTGGAGGGCTACAGCATGGATGAACACTGAAAACACTGTGTGAAGTGATAAAAAGCCAATCAAAAGGAGTGTTGAGTCCTCTTACATGAAATGCACAGAAGAGAAAAATCTAAAAATGGAGCATTTTCTAGGGCTAGGGTGTAGGGAGGAAGTAGGAAGTGATTGCTAATGGGCATAGAGTTTCTTCTTGGGATGATGAAGCATTTTAAAATTTAGTTGATTGCATAATACTCAATATACTAAACCATGCTAAACTGTATACTTTGAAGGGGTAAATTTTTGACATGTGAATTAAACATCAATAAGTTATTACTAAAATGACTCAGACGTAGAGGAAGATGGGATAGAGAGACCCAAGAACAGCAGAGAGACAAGAATGCAGACAAGGTGCAGGTCTTGCACTGAAGACCTGAACTTCTGTCCTGGCTCAGCCTCCAACTGGCTGTGTGATCTTAGCCCCTTCACTGTTCTGTGCTCTGTATGGCTCCTTAAAAAAATAAAACAAGGGGCAGGGGCCGGCACCGTGGCTCACTTGGTTAATCCTCCGCCTGTGGCGCCGGCATCCCATATGGGCGCTGGGCTCTAGTCCCAGTTGCTTCTCTTCCAGTCCAGCTCTCTGCTGTTTCCTGGGAAGGCAGTAGAGGATGGCCCAAGTGCTTGGGCACCTGCACCCATATGGGAGACCAGAAAGGGGCACCTGGCTCTCGGCTTTGGATCGGTGTAGCTCTGGCTGTATGAGCCATTTAGGGGGTGAACCAACGGAGAGAAGGCCTTTTGGTCTGTCTCTCTCACTGTCTAACTCTATATGTCAAATAAAAATAAAAATAAAAAAAAACAAGGGGCAGGTGTTTGGTGTAGAAGTTAAGACACCACTCGGGACTCCTGCATCCCATGTCAAAGTGACTGGGTTAGAGTCCTCGTTCTGTTCTCAATTCCATATTCCTGCTATTGTGCACCGTGGGAGGCAGCAAGTGAGGGTTCAGATAGGTGAGTCCCTGCTGCCCATGTGGAAGACCTCGGTTAAGTTCTCTTCCCTAAGCTTCGGTCCAGCTGTTGTGTGGATCTTTAGAGAGAGAACGAGTGATTGTAAGCTCTCTTTCCATCTCTGTCTGACTCTCTCTCTGCCTTTAAGTAAATGCTTTTTAAAAGTAAAATAAAATTTTAAAAAATGAGGAGGTGGGACTTAACCTAGGAGAAGTCTACAATTTGCCTCCTGCCTGAGCTGGGGGAGGAGAGGCAAGAGGAAGCCTGAGCTAGGAGGAGAGCAGAAATACTTGCTGGGCCTTTCGCCTCCCCTCTCTGCCCTGCCCTGCACCTTGCCCTCCCCTTGAACCTTAAGCCTTTGTTGAGTTTCCCCCAACCCTGGAAGTCCATGTGTGCAGGGGAGGGTGTGAGAGCTGGGTCAGATCAGGGTCATGAGAAGGCCTGCACAGGAGGCACAGTGTCAAGTGTTACTCTGCTTTTTCATAGAGATTATAGGCTTTGGGAAGGGGACAGGAGGAAAGAACCAAGGCAGGGAAGAGGTTTTTCCATCTATGTATAAGGATGACTTTCCCATAATTAGGGTTAATTTAATGTATGGCAGTGAACTGTACTGAATTAGGCCTGTACTGTTTCTGTTGTGGTAAAATATGCAAAGTTTTCCACGTTAACCACTTCTAAGTACGTAGTTCAGTGGCATTAATACTTTCACATGGCTGCACAACCACCCCCACAACCCATGCTTTTACATCTTCATAGTGAACTAGAACAGACGTAAGTGCCAGAATCCCGAGTGTTCACTTCCGTGCCTTTTAAATTTGTTTGTGTCCTGTCACTGCCACCCGGCCCGTGACACTGAGCTTTTAGAGCCCCCCAAACTCCCCCTCTTGCCCTTTCTCATCTATTATATTTTAAATGTTTATTTTTGTTTGGTTTAAGCCTTTGCTTGGAAAAAGAAAAAAAAGACAAAATATGGTTCTTTTGCAACTTAGATGGATTTGCAAGTTGCACAGTTGGTATCTCAATGTTTCATTCCCAAAGGTTCAAGTCCCTGTGCACTTGGGCAGGAAGGCATTGTACTAGGACAGTGAACACTTGCTGTTCACAAGATCAGCTCTCCTCCAGCCAGCTGGAATCCACTTGCTGCACATCCCAGGACTGAAAAGATCCCATTGGAAGATGCTGGAAATACCACAGATAGGACAAAGGTGACAACTCTTCGGCTAAACAGAACGCAAAGAGATTTTGTTCCTTGACAGGTAATTTGCTGGGCAAGGCTTGCACACTCATGCCCCCCAGCAATGACTTTAAAACGTTTGTCAGTTCTGTGGCTGGACTCCAGATGGCATTTTAGCCCATTTTGTCATTCTGTAGCAGCAGCAAAAGCTAAAAAACAAAGGTTAGCATTCCCTAATGATTTCTTTTTTCTTTTCAGTGTTTAAATCTGGGCTGGTTTGGGGTGAAGGAGTAAACAGTATAATTCATCAGACAAAGAAGCCAATAGAAAACTAGAGAGAATAGATAATACATGACATTTGAGGAAGGAGAAGTTGGAGAAGAGTAGTATTATCTCAGAGAAGAAAGGTTACACCATCCTGTTTAGGAAATGTGAAATGCAAAAACAGACATAAAACTGGGGGCCTTTGACTCTGACTTTCCTTCCTGCAAATTGGATCTTTGTATTTTGTACCTTCGCCCTGAAGCCCTGAAGCCCTGTGTGCTGTATTTACCTCTGTCTCCCTAGCCCCTAACACAGGTGCCTGGCATGCCATAAACAGTCAGAACCCTGGAACTGAAGGACAGAGGAACCAGCCAGGAAATTCTACTTCCTAACTGGAGAAAACAGCCCAGGCAGGGAGGGTAGCAGGCAGGGAGAGGGCACACCAGGGAGACAATCACTTATTTAGAGAGAAACTTAGTGCTGGCGCTTCTCAGCCTAGGTATCCGGAGAACTAAGGAAAGAAGCTTTTGGGGCAATTTTTAAAATAGAGCAGCACTTGGAATGGGACAGAATTGCCTGGAGAATTGGAGGGAAACTATTCTAACTCAACAGGATGAGTCTAAGTAGAATCTAAGAACATTCAAGGGTGGCAGGTGTTCGGCCTATCAGTTAAAATGTCAGTTGGGGTACCCTTACCCCTCGCCATACCTGGACTCGCCTCTGTTCATGCCACCTCTTGTACTAATTGGGGATTTCGTCCTATATGATCAGAGGTCTCGCTGTGGGGGGAATGAAGACTCAAGATTATTACATTTTGGATTATGGATTGTACTTTTTGTGATGAGTCAAGTATTTTTCCTTGTGACATTTTATGATTTTTTTTCCTTGAATTTTATTTTGCTGGGTCAATATGTTTTATACTTAACTTTGGTTTCCCTATCTTTCAGGTACAGTTCTTTCCTATCTTATAACACAAGTTGAAACAGTATTAAAGAAAGATCCAAAACTATTAAATTTGCATTAATTATTGAAGACCTAGGCAAAATTCATAAGCTATCAGGAAAGACCCCAAGTTAAAAAATACCTTTATTCAGGTATAGGTATAAATTGATCAATAAAAAAATAGCTGTACAGTCTTAGAATGTTTGTGGCATCCCAGAGAGGTGCAGTCCCTCGCTGTTCTCACCCTCAGCCCAGGGCAGCCACTAGGCTGCTTTCTGTCTGCGTAGATTTGCCTGTCTCAGGCATATCATAAGAATGGAATCATACATTATGTTGACTTTTGAACCTACCTTGTTTTGCTTCAGTTAATGTTCTTGTGACCCATCCATGTTGAACAGTATTCCTCTATGCAGAATACTGTATCTTGTTTATTTATTAACCAGTTAGTGCACATTTGGCTGTTTCTCTTTTTGGCGTTTAGAAATGATGCTAATAAGAACATTCATATGTGAAGGGACTCCAAAATGTCTGTGGAAGTTAAAAGATATGTTTATTTTGGTGCAAAAAATGTTGAAATCTCTGCAATCTCTTCAAAAAGTTCATGGAAAATTCATATTATAAGAAAATTTTGCACCAAAATAAACTTATTTTTTAATTCCATTTTCCATGAAATTTGTGAAGGATCCTTGGATTGGTATATTTTCTCTCTCTTTTTCTCAGGTACGTACTTAGGAGTGTAGTTGCTAGAATTCATGGCAATTTTGTGTTTAACTTTTTAAGAGATTGCCCAACTGTCTTCCAAGGTGACCATATTACTTTACATTCCCACTGGCAATGTATGGGAGACCCAGTTTCTCTATATCCTTGACATTTGTATCACCTATATATATATTTTTAAAGATTTATTTATTTATTTGAAAGTCAGAATTACACAGAGAGAGGAGAGGCAGAGAGAGAGAGAGAGAGAGAGAGAGAAAGAAAGAAAGAAAGAAAGAAAGAGGTCTTCCATCCAATGGTTCATTCTCCAATTGGGCGCAATGGCCAGAGCTGCGTCGACCTGAAGTCAGGAGCCAGGAGTTTCCTCCGGGTCTCCCACGCAGGTGCAGGGGCCCAAGGACTTGGCCCATCTTCTACCACTTTCCTAGGCCATAGAGAGAGCTGTATTGGAAGTGAAGCAGCCGGGTTTTGAACCAGCGCCCATATGGGATGCCAGTGCTTCAGGCCAGGGCCTTAATTCACTGTGCCTCAGTGCCGCCCTCTCACCTATATTTTTTAAATAAAAATAATCCTAGTGGATGTGAAGTATACATCATTATGCTTTTAATCTACATTTTCCTAATGACTCATGGTGTTGAACAGCTTCTTATGTGCTTCTTAATTGTTCCCATGCCTTCTTTGATAAAACATCTGTTGAAATTGCTCATTTTTAAGTGGGTTGTTGGTCTTCTTCTTGGGTTATAAATTTCTTAATCTGGATGCAAACCTTTTATGCAACACATGATTTGAAAATGTTTTCTCCCTTTCTGTGGCTTGACTTTTTGCTTTCTTAATAATATGTTTAGAAATGTAAGCTCTTTCACCTGTTGATCAGGTACTCACTCCAAACAGAGAAAGCAGGCCTCATGATGCCTGGTGTGTTCCTACACCGCCTCCATGAAATTAACATTCCTCGTGAGACATGAAGTTCATGTTGCTACCTCATGACCTACCCCCGAGATGTGAATACTCTGAACACCGCCTTTGGATCAGAAAAGGTAGAAACAAGCACAGCCGTGCAGTCACCCATAGTGATCTGGGGCTTTGGTTTTTGCGCAAAT